CGGCGCTTTCGGTTTCAAAGTAGCGGGGCGTCTGCTCACCCGGTTTCGCCGCCTGCAGGACTCGCGGGCTCCGCCGGCCCCCCGGGCGCCAGGCAGTTGCACGACGGCAGCGTCCAGGCCAAGCTCTGCGGCCGGGCTGGCGCTCCGCCGCGCTCCCGGGGAGGGGCGGGGCCTGGGGTGAGGGGCGGGGCCGAGCCGAGGGCCTGGGTGAGGGGCGGGGCCGAGAGCCAGGGCGGGGCCTGGGTGAGGGGCGGGGCCGAGAGCCAGGGCGTGAGGCGCCCAGGGACCCTGTGCTGGGGAGGCAGGTCCTGCAAGTGTCCTCTGGAGGCCGGGTCACCTCGACCAGAAGCCCAGCCCTCCCTCTCGGCCCACCTCCCTCACCTGCCTGTGCACCGTGCGCATCTCGCTCTACCCGGCGATCACTTCCTCCGGTCCTGACGCAGGCCTCAGAGCAGCTCCGGTCTTCGGAGCCGTCTACACTCTTCACGGGTGAAGGGACGGGCGGCACCCAGAGGTGCACGGCAAGGGCCGCGGATGCCACCCGAATCCGGGCTCCTCACTCCTAAACACCGGCCTCTTAATGTGTTCTCTGCACACGTTCACAGTGTCTATACAAGCGAAGTGGCTGGCGCCCCAGCTTCAGCCAAGTCAGACAACCCTCAGCCTACTGCTCGTCACGGGGAGATTAGCCAGAAATCCAGATCCGGACCTGTGGCTGCGAGATCCAACAGTCCGTGGGAAGATGCCCCTGGGCTTCGCTTTGGCACTCTGGATGAGGAAGCTCCCTTCTGCTGTGGCTGATGCAGGGTAGGTGCTTGCTGAGCCCACGTCCTTGATCCTTGTGGCCGGCCTTGACACTACTTCAAGCACAATACAACTCTACATTTGTAGACATCATATCCGGGTGTAGACATGCCTCTGGGTCACTGGATCTACCATCTGCTGGGATTCACTTGTCTCTCTACCAACTGAATGGAGTGCTTGGTTCCAAAAATGGGACCCAAGGTTTAACTATTTGGATCCCAAGTTGGAATAGAGTGAATCTTCATCATGGTTCAGAGTCTACATAGGAATTTGAGATGGAATGAATCAGAAGTGAAGGATATGTTCCCAGATGGCCTTCTTGAGCCCAGAGCCTAGGATGTCTGGGGGGAAAAGAGAGACCCTGGGGTCCAGCCAAGTCTGGTGAAGATGTGAGCTCTTGCCTCAAGAATCTTGAAGTGATTGAGTATTGGCCCTGCAATTCTATCACTGAGGGAAGACTGCTATGAGTTCAAGGCCAACCTGGTCTACATAGGAAGACCCTGTCTCAGGAAAACAAAATAAACAAGAGTTCTTGAAAGTACTTGGGAAGGACAAGACATAAATGTACATATAAAAGAAATAAAGTTGTCCATGTGACATGCCTTTAATCCCAGCACTCTGGAAGCAGAGGCTACCAGGTAGATGTCTGTGAACTCAAGGCTGGCTTGGTCTACATATTGAGTTCCAGGCCAGCTGGAGCTACAGGGAGACCCTGTCTCAAAAAAAAAAGGGGGTGTGGTGGTGCAAGCCAGCACTCACACTGCTCAGAGGAAGTGGGAGGATCAGGTGGAGTTCAAGGTCAGCTTTCTGCTACAAGGTGATTTTGAGGCCAGCCTGGGTTCCATGAAACCCTGTCTCAAATAAGTAAATAAATACAAATAAATAAGAAAGAAAAATTATGTACTTGCCGATGGCAATGACTGTCACCAAGGTTTAGTATGTTGTAGTTTTCTTTCAGTTGCTATGATAAAAGACTGATCAAGACCAACTTGAGGAGGAAAGGATTATTACAATCACTGAGGGAAGCTAGGACA